AGACACACACCCAGGAATGGTTCCTGCTCATTATCACCCCCGGTGTCTGGGCTTGGCTTGTTGGGTGTTTTTTTCCCTGCAAGAAATGTGGGACGGGAAATCAGAGTCAGATCCGTTCCAGGAGGGCAGGGGCTTCTCCCCATGCTAAGAGCAGCACTTTTGGGTCAGAAATCCTGACATGCTGCTGCTTCTGCAGATGAGCAGTGGTACCCCAGAGCCTGCAGGGACTCTGTTGTGATGGAGAGGCACCACGGGAGAGGTAAACTCTGGCCTGTCTGAGCTCACCACAGGCCAGATCTGGGCTGGGAGAACAAAGGCCTTTCTTTGAACAGCATCTCTCATCTCAAATTAGCATTGCAAATAGGGCCAGGCAAGCTGAGAAACACATGGGAAAGCATAAGGACAGGGAGCTCTCACGCCTGGGGGGCTGAGCAGCAGTGAGGGGTGGGCAGAAACATCCTCCTCCCTCCACACCACACCCCTGGGCTTGGGTCACTGCTGGCGGCAGGGTACCAGGCTGGCTGCATTTACAGCCTCAATTGGCCACGCTGAATCCTCCTGTGAGGTGAGATGGGCTTGGAAGTTATCCATCAATCCTCTGAAAGCCCCTCTGTGATGGCCCTTTGTCCTGTCCCTCCCCAGGATCTCCTTTCACGGCTCAGGCTCTGTTTGCATTTCTAAAGCAGACGCCAGATTTAAAAAAAAAAAAAAAAACAAAAACAATAGCTGTTCTAACTGTTTCATCTGCTCTGAGACACCCCACCGTGTGGTGGCAGATTTCTGAGAGGTGCTGTGCCCTTCCCTCAGCAAAGCTTCATCCCTGTGGCTGAGCAATCCCATCCAGCCTCCCCGAGTTCCAGGCAAGGAGCAAGTGCTGAGGGATCATCTTCCCTGCCCAGTGTCCCCAGGAGGAGACACCAAGCTCTCACCCTTCTTTTTTTTTTTTCAAGCCTGGTAGTGGAATCTGTGGGAATTTTAGGCTTTCCCCCCTAACTGCCAAAGTTAGGGGAGTTTGTGTTCACGCCCCACAACCCCGATTGCACCCACAGCGCCCAACTCAGGGCTCACCCCCCTGATTCCGGTGCCACCCAGGCAGAGAGCTCATTTTTAAGACTCCTCTTTTCTTGTTTCTTGGAGGTCAGGTTGCCAAACTTTTCCAGGACTCGAGTCTGGGCAATATTGTCAACATCCTGGTGACCAGGCTGATTCTCCTCACCGAGGATCAGGTAAGATGGGCTTTGTTGGGCCATTTCCATCACATATCTGCACTTCCTTTGGGGGTCTGTGTGTTCCCCTTGGATTTCACCCCCAGGAAATGCCCCCTGTGCAGTCTGTTGGCTGCTCCACATCCCCCTAAAGGCACCTGGGGGCTGGGTTCAGGCTGTGGGCTGAGGAGACCTCAGGGACTCTGAGGATATTTTCTATGATAAGGCGACTTTAGGGAAGTTTAAGTAGCTTTAGTCCTCCTGAAGTCACATTTTTCTTGCTTTCCATGAAAAGTGGAGGCATCTGGACTGGTGTCAGTGCTCTGCTGGCATGGGACAGGCAGTGCCTTCGCATCACAGCTTTCCTGGGAACACACACTGTCATGTTGCTTCCATTCCAGCCCACGCTGGAGATCAACCACCACGCTGGGAAATCCCTGGACAGCTTCTGCAAGTGGCAGAAATCCATAGTGAACAGGAATGGCAACGGGAACGCAATCCCTGAGAACGGCATAGCCAACCACGACACCGCAGTGCTGATCACCAGGTGAGGCTGAGCCCGAGCCCACCCCCAGCAGGGGGGTCCATGCTGTCCTCTCTGGGGCTGTTCTCTGTGCATCTATCTGTTCTCTGTGCATCTGTCTGTCCTCTGCCTCTGTCCAGATGGGTCATCCAAGGCTTCCACCCCCCACGAACAGCCTGCCAGTGGCTGTCCCTCAGTCTGGCCATGTGCCAATTCCCTCACAGGGATGCAGATTATTGCAGTTCACATAGTTAGCATCTTCCACTTCAGTTAGTTCTGATCCTCCAGCATCTTCCCTCGGTCTTTGTTGGGCTCTCAGGGAGCTTAGTTTGCAGCCACGGGCATTTGTGCACCAGAAGGCAATGGCATGGGGCTGTTGGGCACCACCAGAGCCCACCCTGGAGTTGTGGAGCACTGGGCATCTTGGAGAGCCCCTGTCTGCCCCTGCTGTGAAGGGTGAAGAGGATCCAAGTGGGACCTGAGCACTGTGACGGTGGCAGTGCTCCAGCCAGCACAGGATTTGGCTCATCTTATTTTAGGTGACTACATGTAGGGCTGAACTCCCTCCTCAGTGGACACCCTTGGGGTAGTTACTTCATCCCAGCTCCCTCAGGACTCCTGCCTGTGCCCCTGTGCTCCTGGAACAGCAGCTGAGGCCAGCAGCACGATTTGGATAGTGGATTAGACCTCGGGAGCTGCAAGGAGGGCATCTGAACCTTCATGTGATGAAGGGCATGTGGAGAAAAAATAACCCCCACCAGGACAGGTGGGAACTTGATCCTGGAGCAGCAGAGGGTGGCAGGAGGGACAGCTGGAAGGAGGGATGAGTGCTCAGAAGGTGGGAAGAGGAAGAGATGATGACAAGGAGAGTGGAAGAAAGAGCAGAGCATCTGGAAGGACATCTGGAGGGTGGAGGGGAAAAGGGCACTGAGGGGATGCTCTTGGCAGTGTTGCTGCTGTGTCCAGGACTGTCCAGTGCCCACACAAACCCTGATTGGGCAGAGGGGAACCATCCTGAGGAGAGGCCAAAGGCAAGCCCAGGGGTTTGGTTGTGCCTTTTTCCCCCCCTCTTTTGTGGAGTGGAAGAAAAGAATGAGATGGAAGTGCTGGAAAGGGGAGCCTCCAAGTGGGAGCCGCTTTCCTTGTCCACGAGCTGCTCTCCTGCTCCAATTCCCGGTGGCACTGAGAGCCTGGAACATCCCTCCTGGGGAGCTCATGGGATGAGAGCCCACAAGCATCAGCCCAGGAGCAAGAAAAAGGCTCCTGGGCCTCAGATTTTCCCTTTCCCGGAGCTGCAATTCCACTTTTTCCTCCCCTCCCACCACACGTGGGATGCAAACTCCAGCTCCGAGTTTTTTCGCCCTCCCACCACCAGATGTTTGAGCCAACCCAGAGCGAGTGGCTGGGCTGGGGCAGCACCGGCACATCCCTAATAAATTCCCTGTCTCTGATAACATCTTGCTGAGCTCCGGGCTTTTTTTTTTTTTTTTCCGGGGCCTTTTTTTCTCTTGCAGGGACGTGTCAAACCGGAGCCTCCAAAGGGCTTTATTTGCTCAAAACAGAGCAACAGATGTTTTTCACTGCTGGGGGTGGAGAGATTTGGACACTTCCAGGGAGCCAAAGGGGCAGGAGCATCAGCGGGAATGTGTCAAATTAACCCATCAAGGACTGGCACTTGCTCAGTCCCCACTCTCATCCCTTGAGGTCTCTGGGGTGAGCAGTGTCCGATGGTCCCAACACCCACAGGGGTGTCCCCAAACCCACACTGGCACAAACAACCCTCAGGTTCACTTTTGGCCTTTCCAAGATGTTCCCTCTCTACCCAAGCAGGGTTTGTCTGGGCACTGGACAGTCCTGGTCACAGCAGCAGCACCTCTGAGAGGTGCCCTTTGTCCCCTCCATCCTTCCAGCTCTCCCTTCAGCATCCTCTGTCCTCCCAGATGCTCTGATGATCCTCCCACTGTCCCTGTCATCCTCTCAGCATCCTCAGTGTAACACCTCAACCTGTCCCCCCTCCTGCCCACCCTGCTCAGCTCTCAGCATTAGCCTGGCCCTTTCCAGGCCTGGTTTTACTAAAATGAATCTCGGGTGTCTCTCCTGAAAAAGGTGTTGGAACAGAGGCAGGGAGGGCACGTGGTTTACCTCTGCAATTAAATAATATTCACTGTCTAGCCCCAAAATTGTCTTTTGGAGCTGCCACCACATCCTATTGTGATTTCCATTTGAAGGAGACTTTTGCCCTCCTTGTTTTAGCTCTTCCTTGTGTCCAGCTAATGATGGGCAAACAGTGGGTTCCTTGATGCAGTGGCTGGACGTGGAGGCCAGGAACCCTTGAATCAATCAACCCTTATTGAATTTGTTTGGAAAATTCTCAGTAAAGAACTAAACTGAAAAAAAACCTACATATATATAAAAAAATCACTTGAGCGTTTTCATGCAACCACAGTGGGTTTTGAAATGGAACATGTTTTCAAACTGAAATGTTTTCCTTAGTTTAAAAAAAAAAAAAAAAAATCAAAATTACAACCCTGGCAGTGTCCAAGGCCAGGCTGGACAGGGCTTGGAGCAACCTGGACTTGTGGAAGGTG